AACCTGCATTATTTTGATACTAAGTTTGACTCAATTTTTCTTTGGTTTTTCCTCCTTCATTTTACCTCTCCTCAGTTCATCATTTCCAGTAGCCCATTCATCATACTTAACAGATACTTGCTTCATTCTTTGTGGGCAAAATTCACTGATACTTGAAGACCATAGTAAGCCTAAGTCACCAGAGGTAAAAACTAAAGATTGCAGCTCCTCCCCATTTTTACTTCAATGTAAATCTAAATCATACTTTAGGCAATTTAAAAAGACCTACTGAGAGTAGACTGAGGTCTGATGTCCTCACACAGCGACCTCCACAACTCTGTCCTCCATCAGCTGCTCAAGGGCCGCTTAGACTGCCCGGAGGCCAGGGAGCCCCGCATGGAACAATGGCAGGAAAATAGAGTTCCCTCATTCCTTAATTCACATGCAAGTGAGGTGCCAATCAAGTGCTGACAAGCATGGAGAAACCAAAATCAAAAGTGGGTAGAGACGGATTTCAAAAGGAGCTGTTTTCACACATTTCTAAGGGATGTTTTTAATGGTGCTTGTGAATACACCACTAATAACATGAAAAAGAAAATAAAAATAATCAGAAAGACACTAATTTTGTATCAGCTGAGAAGGTTGAATAAACTGATAGAATGCTATTTACTACAGTATTTAATGTTTCATAAAATATGAGCACTCTTGTCTAGCAAGGGAGTGACATATGAATGCAAACTGAGTTATTGAGTAATGCAAGCAGGGAGGGTAAGGTGAGCTGAAATTGGTAACTGGGCATTGACCAGGAAAGGCAGCTCATTTCCAAGTAAAAGAAAATTTTAAGGTTTCTTGGTTTTGCCAAATTGATCATAATCTGGAAAGACGAGAACAAAGCACTCCAAAATGGCAATCAGCGCAAGCAATGAAATAATTTCATCAAAATGGATGGAGACGAGATAATGACTAAGCTCAAAAACTGCAGTTTCATGACAGTTAATTTCCAGCAGAAAAAGATGTTGAGTTTTCAACAACTAATATAAAAATGAGGTATATTATTTCTAGATGTCTCCCCCAATGTACTTGATAAATGCATTCTAATTATGATTTCTAATTCTATCATGTAGAAAACAAAATTTCTAAGAGAAATCTAAGGCCTTAATAACTAACTTTATGCATTGGCAGTCCTTTAAATGTACAGAAAGAGAACAGATTAAAATATGTCTCTTTCAAAAATACATTATCTACTTACAAGACAAATAGTTCTTTCCTTTTCTCTTTTACAATGGTTGGAATAGACATAAGAACTATCTCACCAACATCCACTTTTACTAGGAAAAGATTAGAGAAGCAACAATTTGAATTGTTGCTTATATGAGAGCAAAAGCTGAGAAAATAGACTTTTAGTATCACTTTTCTCATTACTATAGTATAATGCATGGTATTTTTATGAGGTTGGACTTGGTCAAGTTCTAAGGTTTACTATCATAAAATGAATATTGCTTTTGAAAATAAATCTCTGATAGTAATGTATTCTTGGAGAGAAATCTGACACTTTAAGATAGGATACAATCATAAATTTTGTTCTCAGTTTTCAAAAACAATTAGCAAAATACAAAAACTACAAAATTTTTATGCCCTAAATTTCAATGTAGGGCCAGGGAGATAGCTTAGTAGAATAAGCACCTGCCTGGCAAGTGCAGGGTCCTGAGTTCAATCCTTGGTACCACCAAAAAAAAAAAAAAAAAAAAAAAAAAATTCAATGTAATTTATCTTCAGATATTTATTAGCAGCACATTTAATTTTAAACCACAACTATACACAGTTTTATTTTTTTATTTTATTTTTTTAATTTTATTTATTTTTTTATACACAGTTTTAAATCAGTGATTGGCAAGATATATTTAGCTTTAGGTCCTGACTGGTACTTTTATTTCAGTAGTACGTACTGTAAGTAATTGCATTTATTGGTGAAACTGTACTGCTAATTTTTTCACACTTAAAATAAATTTTCTTGACATTCAGAACCTGCAGAAGAATGTGAACTTGTATGGTGATGGCTTAAGAACAATTTCTATGCATTTAAACATGATGCTATAAAGTAATACACTCTGTGTGTGAACGTGTATGTGAGTGTGCGTGCGTGTGTGTGTGTAGTTACTTCAACAGGAATAAATTTTAGAATTCAAAAAAAGTAAACATTAAACCCAAAGCATTTAATGTATGATGTATATAATGCACTATTGAAATAAACAACTGAACCTATAATTTAAGATTTCTATATTAATGTTTACAATTCATTTTCTTGGAAAGTTAAATTAAAACTTGGAATTCATGTAAACAACTTCCATATATTACACTATGGTTTAAAATCCTGAGAATGAATATTTGCCAACATTTTAAACACTATGACTTTGCCCTGAAGAATACGTGAGATGTGCTTGCTTTGGCAGCACATACTCTATGAAAAAAAAAAAGGAGAGAGAAAAGAAAATAATAGAGTATCAGTGAAAATATGAAGAACAGTACTTAAGAACAAGTTTAAGGCGAAGCAAAAAGTTTAAAAACCTTTCAGTGTATTTTCTCGAAAACACTCTCTTTTTAAAAGCTTCATCAAACTGAGACATATTGAATTTAAACAGAATAGAAGTTGTCAAAAATCAATGTAAAACTCATCAGTGTACAATGCTATTTCTTAGGGAAATCTACTTTTGTAGGTCAGCAACCACTCTTCCTTCATTATCACCATCTGTATGCCAGTGTTACCTACCCGGATCAGTTACTTCACAAAAAGTGGCAAATATACAAAGCAAAGATGACCACCATTAATGTTTTCGATCCTAAACAAGGTATACGACATTAAATAGACTTCTCAGCCCAGTGCTACTTGACAGATATGTGATGTGCCAGTGGTTATATTATATTCCTCCTCCCATGCATGTGCCTCCTGCAGAGATGGCAGACTACAGAAGCTGACCCTTACTGAGACCATCTTGTCTCTCTGACAAAGCTCCTTTTTAACTTCTTACTTACTGGTTACTTCCTGCGATGGAGAAAAACTTTAGCTCAGCTTGTGATAATTTCACAGGCCCGGAGGACCCTGACCTTAATAGCCTCAAGGTCAGAAGTCAAGTCTTGTTCTGAAACATCTGTGTGCTTTATATTAAAGTGGAACAAAAGTGGAGAAATATCCACCAGTGTGTGACAAGGAGGACAGGCAAAACAAGACTGACACCCTGGTCATCTGTCAGCCCTGGCACCTTAAATTCATCTTAAAAATGGTTTGAAATCTACTTAAATTGCAAAATTCGTACACAATTGTTTTTATAAATTGTCTTAAAGTTAAGAAAAAGAAAAAGGTACTGATGTTTTATAGGAATCTGAAATTTGGTTAGTGTTTTGGACCTTCAAACATATTTTAAGTCAGTGCACAAATCAGGAAAGTTCATGTTTTACGTAATTTAGTGGCCTACAAGGAAGTTACGCTATCTAATCTATATCTGCATAGTTATATAACTGTAAGGATGAAAGGAATTATTTGAAAGATGTTTACATTTTCAAAGTACCTCATATCAGTATGTTAGAGCATCAGATCTGTTGTATAAATAAATAAATTTAGTAAACTTAAAATAATCCTCCTGACTAAAACCAATGAAAGAAATAAAAGATTTGATTTCTTTATTGATCTTAAAATAGTGTAAGCATTTGTAGACTTTGGTCACCTGAAGTATTCTCCGGTGCCAGGTGTCAATACTGGCTTTATGTCTAAATCACATGTCAAGCAATGATGTGCAGGGAAATTGGAAAGGTGGAAATATATTTAATTTCCATGACAGAAAAAAGTAAGTCTAGGAACATCAGACAATTAATGTTGTGCTTACCATTTACATCTACTGCAACAGTTGGATGTAAAATAATCAAAGACACTTTTATCAAACAAATCATTTTATTATAATAATTGTACCTCTTCGTGACATAAGAGGTTTTAGACATCGATGTGCAAATATTTCATTAGCATATGCTTAGAGTAGTTTATATCCCATTAAGCACACTGGCATAAAATTGTGCTACTTTTAATACTATCTATAATTTAGACAAAAAGTCAAAAACTTTTGTAAGTTTTCTATTATGTGCACATGATATTAAATCTAAGGTTTGTGATATTTTGAAATCTAAATTCTTATGACCAATAAACGCATTCTTCTTTCTTAGAGTTTTAACATTAATTTTATCAAGTCTGATCAAGAATCAAATAGTCTGCAAATAGTAAAAGGTTCTCCTAGAATTTTACAGGTAACATAAATTTCAGTTGTATACACATAAAACAGGAAACATAAATATGATATGTAGAAATTAGGACTATGGAATATTTTTTTCTTTGTATTTCAGGGAAGGGTCTATAGGTGTTCAGGGTGTCACTACTAGATGGGACTCATAGTGATCCGCCTGCTTACAGCCTCCCAAGAGCTGGGATTATAGGTGCGTACCACCACGCCCAATCTCAATTGCCATCTCAGCGCGCCTAGGGAGAGGGGCTGGCATGTAGGCCTGGGGATCAAACCCCCAGCTCCTGTGCCTGCTTGCAGGTGCTTTAATCCACTGAGCTATTTGGCTGGCCCTAAAATATCGAAATTGTGAAAATATGTGTAAGTATGAAACAGAGGAAGGATTTCTGGTACTCATTTTAAAGCTCTGTCATACTAAAATTAGTATATATTTTTTGCATATTCTTTATAAATATCACAAATCATTCATACAAAGTACTCTTTGTACTGTTTATAAAAAATAACAGTATCAAGGTAAAGGGAATAGAGGATACGCCCTCAGAGAAATAAAAAAAAAATTAAATCATTAATTAAAAAGAAATTAAGGGCTGGGGAGATGGCTCAGTGGAATAAGCGCCGGGGCCTGAGTTCAATCCCCGGTTCTGCAAAAAAACAAAGAAAGAAAGAAAGAAAAGAAAAGAAAAGAAAAGAAAAGAAAAGAAAAGAAAAGAAAAGAAAAGAAATTAAATTTACACTTACCAGTTCAACAAAAGCAAGTCCTCCATAGCTGTGAGCAACAAAAAATACATTCTCAGCTGCAGACTGGGCTATGAAGTGGTCCCAAACATAGACTGCATGCTCTTCAGGAGAGCCATTTTCCTATAAAGAAAATAAATATCATAGAGTACAGACTTGTCTAATTATTATCAGAGACCAAGTTATACATTTGCATATATAAAAAATTAGATGGTACTAATTCAAAATAATAACAATAAAAGGAACTGCACTGAAAAATTAGAAAATAAATTAATATTAAGAGTATTAGTCTGTGACTTTTAAGTTTCATCTACTATAATCATCTGAAAAAATTTAAAATAAAAACATTTTAAGGGGAAGATATAGATACTAAAATATATATGATACACATATATAAAAGTGCCTTATAATTGTATTTTATGATAAAATGATGTAATAATAAAAATTGAATGACATTCTTATATCAATATCTGAATATATTTATATTCTACACACATGTGATTTGGTTCATAAGATTTTAAGTATCACTGTAAGCTGGAAGGACAAATGAATAATGGATATTTTCTATTTCATTTATTAAAATACATATACTGGGCCAGGATGTAGTTCAGCAACTGCCTGGCAAGCACAGGGTTGTGAGTTTGGTTCCCAGAACAAAAGCAAAATTTTTTTCTAAAAGCATTTCCTACACATATTTTATTTATAGAACTGGAAAAAACCTACACGTATAAACTTAGGGACTTCTACATTTCTCCTAACTTGCTCAGTCCTAATAAATGTATGTGTTTGTGCATGTGTGTGTGTGTCTGTATGTGCATACATGTGTGTGCATTGTACTCTTTGTATGTGTAAAACTTAATTTCCCAGATATTTTATTTTATTCCCAACAATTTTATCATGACTTCACTGTGCTGTATGTCCACCGGGGATATATGTGATTAAAACAAAAATCAAGATAATGTGAAAACCAAAACCAATGAAATAAAAAAGCTAATCATGCTAATAAAAATCAGCTGCTAAGAACTGAATATATCATAAAGTATTTGTAGAATTATTTCTTAGATGCTTTAACACTCTAAGAGACTAACTTCCTAAGACTGTCACGGATATTAGACAATCCACATGCCTGATTCTAATTTCTACCTGAAAATTTTACCAGAACCTATTCAGCTATTGCTTCTAAATGCCTGTCCCGTCCAAGATTTTTCTCCATAGCCACAAAAGTAACTATTCACCGGTCATCTCTTTCTGAGTAGATCTTCATATTCACCCAATCCAACACTGTCCTCACATTTCCCTCAAACTGGTATCGAAGTCCATGATCCTCATGTCCTACTGTAATAGGGACATCGTTTTCTTACTTCACTCTCGCTCAAATTCCTCATATCATTCATGAATAAAATCTTGTTGATTTCATCTCCAACTGTCTCTTAAATCTGTCCACTTCTTTCCATTTCCATTTCCTCTGGCTTAGCTCAAGCCACCATCATTTTATAAGTGGCTGACTGCAAGAATCTTCACCCACTTTCTTGCTTTAAAAACTGTCAATTTAAATGCTAATTCCATAGACAGAATTTCTGTTTTTCAAATCTCTTCTAGAGATGCAATGTGGTCATGTCACTCAGTCAGAAGAAACCCTTCAGAGTGCTCTCACTGCTTCAGGATGAAATCCAAATTCCTCAGTATGACGTTGCAGTCCCTTCAGGATCTGGCATTCATCTATCTCACTCTCTCCCACTACTGTCCTACAAAAAACACTATGATGCAAAAGACACACTTTGCCTCTTGAGAGATCATAGAGAACACTGTTCCCTCTATAATGGGCATCTCTAAGTGACCATGTGTGCCATACTTTTCTTGTCTCTGGACTACTCACTTTGATAGGGAAGTGACCTCGGCGTTCTGCCCTCTCTTACACACCACCTACATCTGAGTAGCTCTGCGAGCCTTCACTCCTTCAGGACAGTGACCCTATCACCCTGCAGACAACATGGTCTCTAGCACCTTGGGCATGCCTCCCATCATCACACTGACTATCATAACCACATATTAAATTATCAAATTCTGGAGGCCAAGAGCTTTATCTTCTTGCACATTAATCTTAGTGTAAGAGAACTCCAACATCAGCTGGGCATGGTGATGAACACCTGTAACCTCAGCACATGAGGAGGCTGAGGCAGAAATATTATATATATTATTTATATTACTCATAATATAATAAATAAATAATTACTTATAATAAATTATTTATTAAACAAATAAGACATTGTTTAGATACTCATTGTATCTTTCAGGCTGGGTCTATTTTTGTGGCATTACAGTTCCTCTCCTGTCCAATTCTATTTCCCTCCCTTCATGAAAGGTACTGATCCTAAGAAAACTCCCCAACAAACTTCCTGTATGCACATCTTCCGCCTTAAACTCTTAATCAGGAAAACCTAACCTAAAACACCGTGTCGTCAGGTTTCCCAGGAAACAGAAAGCTAACTCAAAGTCAGAATCTCACAAGTCAAAAGAGTTTTAGAAGAAACATGAAAAGTAGTTAGCTATTTATATGTATTTTTTTAACCATGCTAAAACTACTAAAGTTGTGTTGGCTCAAGGTTACCTGCCAGCTCTCCTATCAGTCACAGTGGCTTAAATTGAATCCTATACCATTTCATTGTATTTTTTTCATCTATTTTCTTTAATCTGCTAATTCATTTCCTCTTCTGTTCAGAATGTTAATGACTAAAAGATATATTTCATTTTGGATTTGAAGTATTTTTAAAAAAACCTTGCTACAGGTATTCAATAAATGGTTAACAATGTTGGTAGTACTGGCAATAATAATGAAAACATTAAGTGAATTTTTAAAACCATGATTGAAGAAGTATTTAAACTTCACTTCAAAAATTTGGTTTCTACTAATCTAGAATATGGAAAAAGACTGGTGCTCAAAGAGGTTTATCCTTATCATTATCTCATCTACAGAAGCTAAAAATGGGATTAAAGTATAAGTACCCAATAATGTACACAAATATCTAAATACATTATAGTTTATTGTCCAAGGAAATAGTATGGAGTTCTTCACTGAGTTTAAAATGGAATACATGTGCCTTGCCTGATTTTATATGTAGCATAATTGTCACTAAGTAAAATATGTTACAAAGCTTCTCTATTCCTTTCTCTCTCCCCGCCTCTCTTTCCCTCCCCTACTTCCCCACTCATACCAGCATCCCTAGCCCACTTTCACTTGTTTCTTTTCAGATAAGGCCTCATCCCTTGCCTGGGCTGGCTCAAACTTGTAATCTTTCTGCTTCAGCCTCCCAGAATGGTGAGCTAACAGGTGCACACCACCAGATGCCCCCTCCAAGACGTTTCACAAGAAAAAAGAAAACTACTCAAAGTAGCTGTGCAGCTTCTAGATGTAACCTTGTATTTTTTTTTTCTCTTTTTAGCTTTTCACCTCTATGAACTGCCCTAGATTTCTACAAAGGACATGCTTTTGTGATAACAACATAAAGAACAAAAAAGTAAAAACTGCCCCTTGGTGCTTCCTGACGGCTTCTTGGGGAATCAGCACCCAGCAAGAAAGGCTGTCTTCATACCTCCAGATCCAAACCTTCTGGGGTCTGGGCTGAGCCCGCTGAGCATCGACTAGGAGCAAACGAGAAGGGTTGTCTCAAATAAGTTCAAGAGTAAGAAATGATAGCTAAAAGCTTGACAGTCACAAAAAAGAAAGAAAATCACAGAAAAAATTTGAAGACCACATACAGCACACTGGCTTGAGCCTACTAGTCTACTGGCACAGAGAAAGGCAAGGTAAGGGTGGTGCTGCATTTAAAACATAACTGACCGGAATAAGGACCTGGTACCATCTAAAAAAACCCTTTCGTGATGCCATGTGAATTCTTTAGTGGCACAAAGATAAATATTTTCATTCAAAATATTGTTTTAGCAAAACGAGGGATAAAAAGAGATAAATTTAAGTCATAAATATCTGGTTTTCATGTGTCTACTTGAAAAGATTTTTAAAAGTTAAGGCTTTTTTTCCATTTTATAGTCCCCATCATTTTAGGATTTAACAAATTCTGCCAAAAAGTTGTAGCCTTCTTTAGTAAGCATGGAAATGAATATACTTAGAATAGTTGACTAGTATTATGAACTAAAATCTCAATGTTATAAAGAAGTGATAATATACCAAGGCAAATTTGTGTCCTTCCATACCGCAGCACACATTGTATCTACAATCATTACGTATTTATAAACCATAATCCAGACTGGATATATTGCCAACAATGTATTTTGAGACTAAACAGATTTCAATAGGAAAGACTTTCTAATACACTTCAATTACAGAAATGTAAACAAACTAAACCTATTCTGCAGGTTACTCCATGAATCCCTCATTAGAGTACATTTTATATTTCAGTAACTTGAGTAAAGTTGTATGATTTGAAAATGTGCAAATGTACAGAATACATGAAAAGATAAGTAAATCTATTAATTAGAGTTGTGAGTGGCAAAATGCACATAAGATTTACACTGTAGTATTCTGCTGTATGCAGAGTGCAGGTTGAAATTCCACATGTACTCTTGCCATCATTAATCGCTAAATGCCAAACGGAAGTGAAGCAGTAACGGAAGCCTTATCAAGCATGCCAGACTCTACTACCTAGGCATTGAAGGTTTGTATTTATGATGGACTACCTGAGCTGATAACACATGGAACTATCTAAACAACATTTGCATATTTATGTAATTATTTTCTAAGGTTAATTAGCTCCTATAATGCATTTGGCCCTCTGAGACTGCTTACAGTGACAGGTTCAAATATTTTCTGAACCATTGCCAAATTGGACAGATTTTCTTTCTTCAGCTAACCTGTTGCTACAAAGTTACGAGTGCTCCTATAATATTTACTTTAAATTTATAATTAAAGGAAACTTAAAATTTAATGAATTTAAAGATTTTAAAAATAATGCTCAATTTTAAAGTCAAAACTTCAAGGTAACTTACTGCACATAAATATTTTTGTAATTCCATGGGTAAGCATATTTAAGTGCATATTAATTTCTATATGCACAGATACAACATTCTGACTGTAAGCTAGCATAGGTCTACATCTTTTCAGTTATGTC